TTTTTTTTTACTACTGACAGTATCAGAAGTTTTCTTCTGAGGGCTGAGATGGTTCAGTGGAATAAGCGCTTCCCTGGCTAAGCGCAAAGGGTTCTGCCAAAATAAAAAAGTTTTCTTCTGCACATTTCAGACTGTCCCATGTGAGAAAAGGAAGTGTGATTGTCCTTAAATTATTCGTTTTCTCACGTTTCTTTCACTAATTTGGCAAACAATTTCCAGTTTTAGTTCTTTTTTTTTCCGTTTGGTTTTTTTTTTTTTTCCGGAACCAGGAATTGAACTCAAGCCCTTGCACTTGTCAGGGTAGTGCTTATTCTACTGAGCCATCTCCCCAGCCCCTAGTTTTCTTTTTTGCTGAACAAAACAGCTCAAATCCAAACCTCAGGAATGGGCAATTCTTCCTGTGTCCTACGTGTTTGATTGCTACACTGTCATTCTCCTCTCTAATCTGGTAATTGAAGAACTCCAGCATCTCCAACAGACTAGGGGTTTGGTTGATAATGAAGGCGAGAGGAGGGTCGTTACAGGGACAGAAAATCTTAAGTTACTGTAGGGAATATTAAAGAAAATGTCTCTGTAGATAGGATAACTTGGTAAAAATGTAAGCCATCGTCCTCCAATACTGCTCACAGCCTCGGTAGAAATCATCTGCCTAAAAAAGGAAAGATCCACATACTGCAACGAGTTCAGAGGCAACAAACCAGAACGCCCAGCATGACGCGCTGCGGGAGGAGTTGTTGCCTTCCAAACGCGCCCAAGCCTGCGCTACTGGACTACTGCACCAACCGACAGTTCTTCCTTTAACTGCCTTTAACAGTTCCACCTCTCTATTCCTCCCAGTCGCTGAGGCTACAATAAAAGTAGAAGAGGTCGCGCCCTTTCTTAACCTTCACCGCCAGAAAGCACCCGAAAGACCGCACAGACTCATGGCCTCACCTATAGCGGTAACACAATGACCCCAATCCCAGCACCCGCCCAGGAGTTGATACGCAGGCGCAGTAGCGTGCCTGCTAACGGCCGGCGCCTCAGCACATGCGCTGACATTCGCTCCGCACGCGGCCGGGCGCGGCCACGCTACTGCGCAAGTGCCTCTGCCCTCTCGTTTCCATCATCATGCTCTCTCTATCTAGCTTGCCCTTACGTTCTAGCGTAGGAGGCGGGGCTAATACTGTCGATTGGTCTATTTATGTGCCAGTCAATGAGATGGGTGCGGTGATTGGTAGCGACTCGGAAGGTAGCGGGTTTAGGTGTCAACCCTGAGGAGGCAGCGTTTTTCTGGGCTAGTCCCTAGTTCTCTCTCTCTCTCTCTCTCTCCAGAAGATTCTGCCGGTTCCCTCTCCTCTGGGTAGTACCTGGCTCTGCAACGCGCCGCCATGATGGGCCACCGTCCCGTGCTCGTGCTCAGTGAGTTCTGGGGAAGTCAGAGATGGGATCCCCTTTGTGCTGCTCCCTTCTCTCCACACTTTTCAGTATTCCCGCTGCTCGGTCCCGCTATGACCCGGCCACCGAGCCTTTCAGTCATCGTCTCCTTTTGGAAGATCCTTCTCCCACCTTTTTTTCCCTTCACGTCCCCTGCCCCCCTTCGCAAGCGCGCACAGATCCTCCCTCACGGAGTCTCTGGTCTTTCCTCGTTCTTGTCCCAGAAGTGCCCCAACCCTCGGTGCTCGGTTCCCCGCCGCCACCCTTCTCCACGCCCCTCACCCTCCCGCACGACTTAAGCGTTTGGCTGAATGAATGGTGGTTCCCAAGGTTAGACCAAACTTTCCATCCTTGGCCGTCCCTTAGCGATGTGGCAACTGACAGACTGCTTAAGTTTTGCATGTGTGTTGTGCGGGTGGTAGCGCCTCATCCACTGGAAGATCAGTAGTGAGCTACTTGAAAGAGGCAAATGTCAACCCGTTGTAGTTTTTCAGCAACCCTGTTCCTAAAGTGATCGCTTTTACCGCTGGATTTAGACGCAGTTTTTCCCCGCTAACCCATTAATCCCCCCCTCCCCATTTGTGTGTTGGTTTTCTCTTTCTTTCGGGAATACCCTTTATTTTTTATTTTATTTTTTTTGGAACCGGGGATTGAACTCAGCCTCTTGCACCTGCCAGGGAAGTGCTTATTCTACTGAGCCATCTCCCCGGCCCCTACCCTTTATTTTTTAATAACGAGCACCGCTCTCCCTCTTGTCTTTCTCTTGGTATGATTCCATTTTATGGGTAACTTTTTTTTTTTTTGGTCATTTTGAGACTAAGAGTCTCGCTATGTCGTTCAGGATGGCCTTGAGCTCACTTTGTAGCCCAGGCTGGTCTGGAACTCGCAGTAATCCTCCTGCCTCGGCCACCCTAGTGCTGGGATTACAGGCGTGCGCCACTACGTCCCGCTGGTAACTTCTGTAACCCATCTATAGGACCTACAGTACTGGCTGGCCTTTTCTTCTCCCATAGTATGTGCTGTATAAACAGTGCTTGTGACAGTTTATTTTATGTGTACTTTGAACATCATTTTTCAAGGAAAAAAAATCACATGGAGTGCAGGGTATTCTGATGGATTCTGAGTCCACATAGTTTATGTTATCACTGAGACAAATGTAAATCCTGAAGGTTATGATACATGTTTGTATTTGATTGGACTGGATTGAAAGATTTACAAACTTAAATTGTAAGAGATTGTATAATTGGAGAAGAGAAGAAAATTGGCATTGTACTGGTTGTTTATAATCATGAGAGAGCCCTGAAGTGAGTGATGTGTCTATAAAGTGCTTTACAGGTTTGTGTTAATCTCTGGCATTAATGCCTGTGACTGATTAGGTTCCCAATCAAACTATGTGGCCAGCTCTTAAAGTTGTTGAATTAGTGACTGAGATATTCTTATTATATCCAAGTATGCAGTGACTATAATTTTATCTTTCAAATTACGTTACTTTGTAATAGTGTGTGTTCTCATTCCTCGGATTTCTCCTCCTACAGCATGCAGTGGAGCTCCATGAGTCAGTTCTGCTTGGACTATGAAGAGTATGATCTCCTTTATCCAAGCAAGAGAATTTGGGTCCCTAAATTCTTCCTTTTTTATTATTTTTTCTTTTTTTTCTTTTAGTCTTTTGGAGGCAGGGTTTCCCTATGCAGCTCAGGTAGGCCTTGAGCTAGCTTTGTAGCCCAGTCTGGTCTTGTACTTACAACAATCCTCCTGCTTTGGCCTCCCCAGCGCCAGAATTAACAGGCGTGTACCACGACCCCTGGACTAATTTTTCCCATTTACATAAAGCAGTGGTTGGTACTTTTTTAAGGTCACTAACCCTTTGAGAATCTAGTATCTGGATTTTCCCCCTCCCCACCCAAAAAAGCAGTATCTTTCATTTTCTCATGTAATATTGGGGAGGTGGCAATTCTACTGAAACCCATTAATGGGTCTCGACTTATGAATCCCTGTTGTAAGTATGATAATGTTAGAGGGAAAGTGTTTACCAAGATTGCAAAGTTGAGGCATTGTGGGTTATTTCTTATTATGCCAGTGGTTGAAATAAAGTAAATAGCTATTCAGTATAAATGTTGCATTTTAACAGTTTGAAGGAGGCAGACATGGTGGCACATGAGATTGTAGTCCCAGTCCTAGGAAGGCCGAGGCAGGAGTATTCTTACAGGTTCTGGGTTAGCCTCTACATAGCAAGACCCCGTCTCAGAAAACCAGAACCAAACAAAACCACTTAGGGGCATAATTGGCAAATAACTTGCACATACTTGAAGTATATAAATTGATAAGGTTTAGTTTGTATATATACTCTTAAAATTTGTGTTTATTTACAAAGGTTAGGGAATGTACAATAGGGCTGTCCAGAGCTAATGACCTTTCTCTTCCCCTCTCCTCCTTGCATCTTAGGCCAGAATACAAAGCGTGAATCTGGAAGAAAAGTTCAATCTGGAAACATCAATGCTGCTAAGGTATCTTTTTTTTTTTTTTTTTTAAGAGTTACAGCAGTTTGCCTTTGGCTGTCTTCTCTAGTATTTTTATATCTGTTTGTATCACTAACTTCCTATGTTCTAGACTTTAGAGTATGTTATTAGCCAAAAGAAGATTTCTTTATGGTGGTAGAGGTAAAGAGGCACACCTCGTCCTATGAGTTAAGCCTAGTGATCTTATATTAACCTGTGCATAATCCTATTGCTGCATATATTTTGATATCATTTGCTGTCTCTCATATCAGATTAATTTGAGTGGAAACACAATTGGTTCCCTCATTGTATTCTAGTATCCATCTTAGATATTGTACAAGTAGGGCAGAGCATTTGACTGCAGATACTGTACAAGTGTTCCATAAATGTCTTTTGAATGAAACAGTAAAATGGCCTGAGATCTCAGAGTGGAACAGAGACCACTGTCATGGAAAGAAACACTAAAAACTTAGACTGCTTAGAAGCTAAAGCATGGTGGGGGGTATTTACACATTTTTTTTTCCCTTGGGAAAAGTTGTCCCTTACTATATCTAAAACACCACTTTTTGAGGTATAATTGTTAAAACCCCGGCTCTGGAGATTGTTGTCCAACTCACATTTGGACTTACATGTGTTACATTTCCTTCCCATTAGACTATTGCAGATATCATTCGAACATGTTTGGGACCCAAGTCCATGATGAAGGTAAGCTAAGCTCTTTTTTTCTTTCTTTCTTT